GATGCAGGAGGACGGAGCCAGGCTCTGCTCAGGGATGTCCAGTGACAGGACAAGGGGCAGCGGGTACAAGCTGGAGCACAGGAGGTGCCACAAAAACATCAGGAGAAATGTTTTTCCCTGTGCGGGTGCCGGAGCCCTGGCCCAGGCTGCCCAGAGAGGGTGTGGAGTCTCCTGCTCTGGAGACTTTCCAACCCGCCTGGACGCGTTCCTGTGGGACCTGCCCTGGGTGACCCTGCTCTGGCAGGGGGTGGCACTGGGTGAGCTCCAGAGCTCCCTTCCAGCCCCACCATTCTGTGATATTTTTTACTGTGTTGAAGCTGTATAATCCTTATTTGTTGTTTGGAGTGGTTATCCAGGGATAAGCAAATAAAAGCCTTCCCGAGGTTATTCATATTGCCCCAGCTCTTTCCTGCTTGTGTGTACAGGGCATGTCCTTGGAGATGGAGCATGTTGGTCTTCTTTCAGTTTTCTGAGTTCTGCATGATGGATGTTGGGAAGTCAAAGCTTTTTAGGCGTTGTGAGAGTATTATGGGCTGAGCGGTCCTACTTACATGTTGAGCCCAAGGAAATGTTGTTTAATATCTTATTTTTCTGTCATTTAGTACAAATGCACAGTTTCTCCTTATTTCTTGAATAAATTAAATATAACATTTATAGTTTAAAAATTGTGCTGTAAACATCTAGTCTGACTTATACAGTTGCTGATCAGCAAGGGTCTAGTTAAAACAGACCGCTCACAGAAACATGAATTCTCTGCCCTCTAATGATTTTTTTTTTTAAAAGAACTGTCTATTTTCAGTCTTGTTTTTCCCTCTACATTTTCTCTTCCAGTTAGTTTGGTCAAATTGTCTTTAGTTATGTGAAATTACGTGCTGCGGTTGCTGCAGCCTTTCTCCAGCGTGGCAGCTGTCCAAAGTTTGCTGCAGATGAGAATATTGGAGGGGACCTCCTGTACCCTGTGCCCTGCTGGAAGGTGCCTGTGCCTTTCTGGCAGATGCTTTCCCCAACACTCTCTTAACAATTCGAGTGCTGGCGATCCCCTGCCCCAAAGGCCATCTCCTGCTGGAATTAACAGACCTGGCTCTTCATTGTTCCTGAGATTTCACTGACATCTCCCTTGCTTTCAGTGTGGCCCATCATTCCTCCTTCCACCTACACAGCAGGTAAATGATGCCTTTCGCCTTGAAGCCTATCATTTATGTGTTCAAAGACCGTTTTCCTTGTTCTTCCAGAAACATTTTAGCAAAAGTTAGCTGAGATGAACTCTGTAGGACTGAAGGATGTGCTTTATGCAACCTTTCTCAGCTAAATTCTGCTCTTTTGAAGCCAACAGGATTTTTTTTTTCTCTGAACTAGGTCTGGGCCACTGTTTCATATGTTTCTTATGTAGGTACCGTCTCAGAACTTAAATTCAAAACCAGCTGATGTTTCTGCCTCAACCTGTTAGTAAAAAGTTCTATTATTGAAGTACTGAAGGTTTCAGCACATTGTGTTCTTTAATTACTTGAAGTATGCTTGAATTGTTGGAAACAGCTTTTAGTGCTGAAGGGTGATGGTATCACTTGTCTTAATTCCACTGCAAGGCAGCATTGGAAAAACAATTTAATAATGCCTTTCCTTTCAGTTTAGTTCACAGTGAATTGGAAACATTGCTCTTTATTAATGGGAATTGCTTATTGCACCAACATTTTGTAACCATCACTGTGGCTCAAGGGCTTCCAGTGGCTCTGGTTCGCATGGTGTGAGTTTTAAGACAGCGCTTATCTTTGTCACACAGTTCTTTTCTACCTATTTTACTTAGTTAAACCTGACTGTGAGTGAGACATCAGTCTGTTCACTGTCTCGGTGCAGTATAGGCATCTACTTGTGAAATAAAAGAGGATTGTTTCTCCTGAATCAGTTTTGCCTGAAAGGTAGGACTTTGAAAATGTGAATAAAATGGTACGCGGGTTTGGATTCAGGAAGAGTCTGTTCCTCTGTGTTCATCACTAAGCTGGGATGATTAGTGAAGGTTTTGAGCATTGGGACCAGCTGCCTGTCTTGCAGATTAGTATGATTTTAAACATAAAAATTCAATTTTAGGAATTAAATTTTTTTCTTCCTTAAACTTCGGGGAAAAGTAAGGTTACACTTCATGAAAATGTCGTTGGTAAAATGAGATGTCTCTTTCCTATAGCTTTCCATTTATTTTTCGAAGATATAAACAGTTAGCGTGGCGTTTCCATTTCTGTAAGTGAGTGTTAGCTTAAAGATAAGGTCAAATATATGTGGTGTTCAAAAAGCTTCCTCACTTGGCATCTGCAAAATTTTAAGTTTCAGTAACTGTGTGAGAATTTGAGGTGAATGTGAGCATGTTTTGTGAGTGGAACTTGCAGCAAAGTTGCATTACCATGAAGCTGGACTTGTCACATGTGGGTCCGTATTCAGTGTAAGAAATGCTGGTTTGAAATGCAGGTTTTAAAGGTGTTTTTTGTCTGTGCAGCTTTGTCTTTAAGTAAGTGGCTCTGGCGACTGAAGAGAAGATTTGGTTAGGGCCTTGATAACGCTTGTGTGGAGCCAGTTCTCCATTTGAACTGCTGAGGTATGAATGGACAAAACTGCACAGATAACCAGGGCAGCCTGGAGTTCGCTGGAAATGCTGATGCTGGTGGGCGATAGCGTTTCCTTTTGAGTCCTCCTCATGTGGCAGGTGGAGCTGTGGTGACAGTCACTGCAGGTGGTGGCAACATCCTGGCAGTGCTCATGGCACCTTCTTGAGTTGGTCTGTGGGTGAAGCGCCCGTGTCGGAAACCCTGCACCACACCAGCAGCGCTTGGGATGCACGGATGAGGTGAGAGGCAGCTCACACGCACCGACCTGAGCACCCTTCCTGCCTGCACACGCCTGGCCTGGCGCAACGAGAGGGCTGTTGCCCCTCCACCGAGCCCCCCCGCCGCTTTCTGCGTTGCTGCCCAGCGATTCCCGCTTCGTTGCGTTTATCAGAAATGCTTCTCAAGTTTGTATATGCAGGTGTACTAGGAAGATGTTACAGTTCGTTGTGTGTGGTGAGATGATGTTTGATGCTTTGCTCTTCTCCAGAACAGGAGACACAATGTGCTTGCTAGCAGTGAGTGTAAAGCCCTAGCTGGTAAGCATGGGGATGGAGGAGTTGCCGAGCTGGTAATTGCAGATAATGTCTCTGGAAAGCTGGAAGCAAAAGCAAATTCATTTGCCTGGAGTGAAATTTGTAAAAAAGCCTTAATGACGCTTTAAATAGTGATGTGTACTGATAATGCTTCCATTCCCAGCAGCCCGTGTCATGATCCACTGTCACCACATAATGGTGTTATGGTAGCACCAGTGCCGAGAACCGGGTCCTCGATACCTCACCTCTGTCATAGCGGGAGCAAGCCAGCACTCACGGAAACGAGATGGTTTAGTTGTGGCTTCTCTGTCGCTCACTCTCTTGCTGCTCTTGCTGCAGTGTCTGCGGAGGGCCGGCGGGGAAGCCCTGCAGTGCTGCCCGGGGAGCCCTGCCCGGAGCTGGGGGTGGCTGCCAGTTCGTGTCGGCCTCCCAGCGCAGGGTCCTGGGAGCAGGGACCGGGGGGTGAGGGGAGGTGGGGTGGAGGTGCTTGTAGTGGCAGATCAAACGATGTGCTGTGGAGCAGCGCATAGGAATCCTGCTCTGCTGCTTTCCTGGTGTATTTGGGAGCGGGCACATGA